AAGAGCATTCAGCAACTTGATATCACAACACAGTTCATATAACACTTCAGCTCCAAGCTTAACAAAATCCATCAGCTGTTTTTGAATATGTACAATGTTGCAAAACTTTCACCACAAAAACAACAGAAATCTTCTGGCACAGGATACTTACCTATGTAAGGTGCTGCTGCTGAATGATTTCAGCTACCTAACTCTACCCTCCAGCTCACACATTACCTTACATGCACTTTCCATCCTCCAGGAGAGAACAGGAGCTGACGCCCAGCGTCCGTCTTGCTGTCAAGTGCATTTAGGAGCAAAGCCCATTTTGTCTTCCACAGCCAGGCAAACAACTTTGAGAATCTCACAGAGAGCAGGTAAGATGTCTCTGGGCAGATCCCTTGCGCCAACCCTTAAGGTGTCATTGCTAGTTAAGACATTACTAGGAAGGTTGAGCAATATGCCCTCTCTGAAGATGGAAGGCAGCAATCTGTAACAGCTTCCTCTTGAGCAGATCGGTGATGAAAAGCTTTTATGCCTCAGGGGGCTCCCAGTTGGATCACACTTTGCACTGAGGACATCAAATCACAGAAAAAAAAAAAAAACAAAACCAAAAAAAAAACTATGGATTCCTCTACAGGACAACACAGTGACTAAGAAATGATTGTTTAAAATTCCTTGTTCTCATGACTAGGAAGAAGCTGATGTTGTAATGACGGGTTGATAATGTGGCCGGGGTTGCCAGGAGGAAAAAAACAGCCACTGGCAGGACGCATGCACTTTCTTTCCAATCTCCGTATAGCATCGCGTAGAACAAAGGACTCGCCAGCTGCTCAAACCAAAGCAAGGACAATAAAGAAAGTGTTTTAAATAAAATCTCCTAGCCCTCAAACAAGGGACTCCTCTTCCTTCAGTTTTAGAATGGGGAAAAAATAAAATAAAATCATAATACAAAAAAGAACAAATGAAACAATAATGGAACTGCTCCTCAAATTGGAAAATGAAGTACAAACCAGCCCCACCTCATCACGTAAGGGTGCGACAGCGATGGTGACTCTCTCAAGGCGACTTTCACAGATGCGCAGGAACATTGTTGCAGACCATTAGCATAGTACCCAAGTGTAGTGTGCGAGACCACCAACGGTATATGTGGATTTGCTTTTCCTCTCTTTCAGGATATCCCTTTGCTCAAATGAGGAAAGGAAACGTCGGGCCAAATCTTAGGTGCTGCAAAAAAAACCCAGGACACTCAATCAGAGCTGATCGCGAAACCAGGTCACCATCAGGCCGGCAGGGCTGCCACTTCCCCATGTTTTCTTAAGAACGGATCTGTCTCCTGCTCCATGCTCACTTAGCAAAGCAGGACACTTCCATCTCTAGCAACACAAGGGATGGCATGACTGTAGCAATTACAGCACCCCTCCACTGGAAGGCAAAGCAGGGAGGCCAGGGGTTGAAAATTAACAAGACAACACCAGGAATTCTTCGAAAGGGGCAACACACGGTGCTCAATACCGGAAAACGCGCAGTAAAGGTGCTCTTTCCCCTCGCTCACACTCTCCCTCTCTCTTTCTCTCCCCCTCCTGGTCTGAAAAGGGTAGTTTTTGCTCCTATGGAAACGCGGCTTTTTAAGTGCAGCAATGATTCCTTTGCAAAACAACAAAAGGTCAGAAAAGTTGTCTTCAACTCACTTCCAGGCAGAAACAGATTTTTTTTTCCTCAAAAGAAACACAATTTATTGATACTGAAACAAAATCAACTAAGTGCTTATGCACTTTTTTTCTGCGTATGTTAACAGCTACTTCTTAGCTGTGTGAAAGGTTTCCTTATATATTTTTCCAGAAATCAGGTGTACACAGCACAAAGCAAAAGGTCATTTTTTCCACTTAAAACACGGGAACTGGCATCACAAAAGCAGTTACACAACTTTTAAGCTGCCATTTTAGTGAAAATGCACAAATACTAAACAGAAAGCTTTTTTCCTCTCCTCATGAAAAAGGCTCATGTATGATTCTACACAAGCTTTCGGTTATCCAGTCCAATCGTGATGGTGTGACGATTTCCAGTCCTCCTGTTTAATTGCTTGAAGCCGAAGAATGCATCAGATGAAGAAAAACTTTTTTTTGGTACATGTGATTTTACCCAACAGACAAATTTGAACCCAAGTTTTCAGCAACAACAAAGAAAAATGTTTTACAAAGATAATGTTTAGCATTCGCTGTAAAATTAAAATAACATAAAAGGGCATTGGCACCAACAATACGCTTTTCAATGAGAGATCAGGCATAGCTTCAAATCTGCATATACTTCTTTTGAAACTTGTAATATCACCTTTAACCCACTGTGAAAAACAGTAATTATTGTAAGGACAGCTCAGGGAAATTTACAATATTCTCAATTTAAAGTAATAGTTTGGACAGACATTTTTCATCTAAACAAATCACTTTATACATTCAGTTCAATGTCAATTTCAGTTCAGCTCACTGAATAAACTTTTTTTAACCTACTATTATGGCAGACAGCAAACTCATCCTACCTCAATGACCAGTTTCACGCAAAGGTATAATTTAATACCTTTTAGGAAATGACAAGTGAAAAATACCTGCTTTCTTATCTACACTCTTCCATACTTAAGATGTCATAAATGTGACCGCAGTTTGTTGTGACATAAATAAGGCTTGGAATAAATGTCTACAAGAACACTAACTGGCTTTAGAGAAAATGAACTTAAAAATGTCCCAGTGATAATGATCTGTACAACTCTGCAATCAAATATTCAACTCTAAATGTAAAAGAACTACATTAGTACACAAAACCAGTCACTGAGGTAAAGATGATTAAAATAATGCATTAAGTATGGCAGGAATATGAATATTAACCAAGATTAACAGGCTAACCACGTGCCCAGATAAATAACCTATCCTTTCAAATGGTTATTATAACAGAATTGGAATTAGTCTCACCCAGCATGTTTATGCTAATAAACCCTTCCCCTTTCAAGCCTCATGTTAGCCTACCTAAGAGTATCTATATTGAAGGTGGATGCAAGCAAGGCCTACATACTGTATAACTAACACTAGACTTGTACACTGTTTTTCCCCTTGTTCACCAGGCTTCCAGTCATTTTAACCTTTCAACAATTGCTTCCCAGAGCAGTACCACCCACCTAACCACATTAAAAAATATGGTTTCATATTGGTTTGCTAAATTTGCAGAAAACTATGACTTTAAATATGCATTTTTTTCTTTACCACTATTACAAGGGCACATTTAATGAAATATGTACATTTAAGATGCATGCTTTACAGAGCAAATGCTAAGAATTTGCCAAAGAACTGCTTTGGCATTAAAACAAATTTTCCCAAAAGATTTTTATTTTTGATACAATGAGACCTTTCAATATGCTCCAAGTACTTGACCAATTCTTACCGAGCCGAAAAGGGGTAAAACCATTTTTTTTTATTAATTTTATATAAGCAGGCTGCAAAATTCAAAGTGATCTTCTCTGTAGAGGAGAATGGGTAACACCGAATATAAAGTAAAAAGCTTTGTGAAGAATCAATGACCAGTTTACGGTCCATAATTACCCCCTAGAATAGCATGACTGAACTATAGGAAATTAAACTAAGATAACTCCTCTATGCCTTTCATGTTTCTTGCCTTTCATATTTCTGAACATAAGGCAACCACATAAAAGAAATTTAGAAAACACAGGCAGTTATTTTACTGAATTTTGCATTCTGCTTAGACAACTATTGCACCCCAGACACATTCCACAATGAAACACTAAGGACTAAAATCTGAAAAGGTTTTAGGAAGATTTTAAGATAGGGGTTGTTCCAGATAAGATCAAACAGGAAAATACTGTTTTAAGGATTTCATAATCACAATTTTGATTAAATATACCCAAATGTGTAGCGTTCCACTGCATGAAAGACAGAAGTCATAAAGCTGTTTTACATGTGCAATGCTTCACACTCACAATGAGAAGGCAAACATATCTTGAATTTAAACAGTAAGGAACACCCCTACTGTACAGAGCTACAGTTTGAGCTCCAGTAAGAACAACTGTTATTTCTTATAGCACGTCTGTGGGGATAGTCAATATAGCAGATATTAGCAAAGTCTGCCCAAAAGATCCAGTCATGAAATCCCACCATCTTCCCCAACCTTATGTTGACACAAATTTTTCCATTAATTCCTTAGCCTGCTGCTCACTTTACGGCATAATGCACAGATGCTCATGCTAAAATGTCTGGTCTGTAAACCATGTGCACAAGCACTTTAAACCTCTGTTGCATTTTATACCCTTATTCATTCATCCTGTACCCCGACAGCTGCTGGTGCCAAGCCCACACTCAAAAGCAAAAACAACAAAGAAAGAAAGGTTGTCAGCTTCACAGATGTAAAGCAGGAGGGAATAATTATTCACTCCTCTATGGCAATGTAACACATAGGAAGGTTTGTCGTTTTACTTAAATCTACAACAGAAAAGGCAAAAGGCTGACATTTGCTTCAGAACATGTGAATAAAGTACGCCTAAGTCCTGCAGCTGGATTTCTCATTTGCTACATTTCCCCAAAAACACATAGGACAACACTTTGATTTTCTACACCTAGCTGCCCTTACCTGTGGAATTCTTAGTATAATAAAACTACAAGAGAACCAAAATGGCAGTGATCCAAGTCCTAACAGTTCATGCTCATCCCAAATGAAATGAGTTTTGCTACAGAGTTGGACTTCAAGATGCAGTGTAAGTGCTCCGACACCTGTGTTGTAATGTTATGAATGCAAAAAACCTGGGAACTGAAAAGGCTGACATGGCTTTTTTTAAAATCAGCCTGTGATTAATCTTTTTAAAAAATGAAACACAGCTTTGTGCAATTACAGTAAAAAACAATTCTCAATACACTATTTTTTCACCTAGAATCTAATATAGCAGGAGACATATGGTCCCCTGATCAGACTTTAAGCTATATAAGAACTTTGCCGCCTCTTGTTTAAAAAAAATGTTGCTGTGTTTCTTTAAAGAAAAATGACACTGAAGTGTTGACTAAAACCTACCAGATATTCCTCTCCAAGTAATACAAGCACAAACATTCAGCTTGAGGTCCAGCCATAAAGGATGATTTACAAGCAAAGACACTGCTGTCCAGAAACATCCTTCTCCCAGCTACAGTGCTACTGTTAGCTTCACCAACAAGATAAACTTTTTAAAAATGATGGAACCATGAAGATTATTTTAAACAAGAGGATTGCATGCAAATCATCTTTTGTAACTGGCTTGCTTTGTAGTTTTTTCTACTTGAGAGTTAACTGAAACACTGTCATTTCAGTAGATCTTTATGCATTATGGGATAACCAATCACCAGCAGCTGACCATGCTGAGGCAACCCTTTTAGAAAAAAAAACCAAAGGATGTACAACAGCACTACTGTTGAGAGCAGAATCAACCTTTAGATCACACATATTGAAATATGCCATTGGAAAAAAACATTCAGCACTAGTATGAACAAAAGCTCCCCTTTAAGAAATTGTGCACTGGATACAAATGTATTTGCTCTTGTAGGTCATCACATATCCACATTCTATGAATGCTTTGACTGTTGGAGTAAACCATGGTTAATTATGCAAATAAAAGTCAACAATTTATTAAGTGTACAAGGAAATGCTGAACTCTACAAGGGGTCTCCCAGAGTGGTAGGTAAGCACTTCACTGAGCAATGTGCAAGGTACTTAAGATCTTAAATTGCAATGTTTTTTTTAAATGCTGTAGTAATTCTGATATTTTAGAGAATGTTAAAACACAAAGAAAATAGAGACCCGTTATATTTGGACAGCTGCAAATCAAGCAAATAAACGTTGCTATCATTAGCTAACAGTTAAACACTACTGGTGTTTTAATTACAGCTGTTAAGTGTTATACTTATTTTAGAAGGGCTGTAAACTTTAATTTATCATGTTTGACAAAGCCTTAAGTACTGAAGTCTAATGATATATTTTATCCTTGAGATGATAAAAGGTCCAAATGTTTTATCTTCTAGAAAGTTATAATGATAAAACATGAAACAAAGCAATGTCCTAAAACAAAATCAAGGTGACTTGCAGAGGATTTTAATTTTGTAAGGATTTGCTGTTAATTTTTTCTGAGCACTGTGTCACATTGCCATTACCTTCCTTAATCCAGTGAACCCGAAAGACTAACATCTGATTGGGTACAGCATAAACAGACACACAACAACAATTTTCCATGCATGACAATGAATTTGAAGTTTTCAGAGCTTTTTGTTTTTAGCTATTTGGACCCCCAAAACCTGTGGATCAATATTTTTTTTTCTAAAAGGAAGGTGTTTTTCTTTTTGGCAAAACATCTGAGGGCCCGCAGCCCCCAGATTTAGAGATTGCTGTATCCCATAATGCAGAACAGAGCGCATGCAGTGCTGTGGATAGATTACAAGATTTTTTTTTCTCTTTTTTATGATGCCCCACGAACAATGATCATCACCAGGTAGTCCTCTTCTGTTTTGGCAAGAGCTTTAGCAGAGGAATCCAAGAACTGTTGAGAGAAATCACAGGGAGGGAAAGCATGAAGGACTCCAGCGTTGTCCTTGTCTCTGCTGCCACCTACGGGGAGACTGATAACTCCTGCGGCCTGTTTTTGCTTTAAGTAAGAGACCAGGTTCCTCAGCGGCCTCTGGGTGGACGATGCTGGCTCAGATGAAGACGACCCGCCCTCGGAGTTCCCTGGTACCGCCAGGAGGACAGAGTAGCCGCTGGGGCCTGCCACCTTGATACGTCGGGTAACCTCATCAAGCTTCGGTTGGTCCAGACGCAGACGCTGGGTGATTTTCAGCTGGGCCACTTTGCCACCTGTAGAGCCGTCGATCAACAGGCTGGTTGCCACGTTGAGGTCACCTTCCAAGAGATGCATGTTAGAGGGGAAGTTGCTGTTTTTCAGCAACAACATACCCTGCCAGGCCAGGCACAGCTTCTGGCCTGCCTCCTGCTTCAGCCCCTGGCTGCCCTTGGAAGAGCTCATCTCGAAGCGCTCCTCCTTCTTGGCTGGGCTCTTGCTGGTCTCGCTGATCTTGCGTTTGCGCTCTTTTTCCACACCAGATCCTGCCCCACCCCCGACTCCGCCTGCAGCCGCTTCCCCCGCACTGACAGTTTTTAACCTCTCTCCTCCCCGCTTCTCCCCAGCAGCCCTCTCCAGGCTGGCATGCCTGTCCCGTGCTGGGGAGGGCCTCTCGGAGCGCAGGGGCCGCTCCGAATCGCTGTATCGCCCCCCGTCTCTGCCACTGCTCCCCCCTGGGCTGCGCTCAAGGGAGGGACAGTGACGCCTTCGGGCGCGCTCGCTGCTGTCAGGAGAGCGGTCCAGGTGGCGGCTGTCCTCCAGCAGCCGCCGCTTGCGCGTTTGGTCACGGTTCTGCAGCTCTCTCTCTCGCTCCAGGGACCAGGCCTCCCTCGGCCTGCGCTCCCGGTCCAGATGGTCCAGGGGATCGAAAGCCGCCCTCACTCTGTCCCGGACTGGAGGAGCAGCCCAATCGGTGGCCGGGTAGAGTTCTCTTTCTCTGAAGTGCAAGGGCGGAGGAGTCCTCTCCCTAACCCGCAGCGACTCCGGGGCAGCGCGGTGCACAAACGACTCCGCCACAATGTCGTAGTGAGGCAGGGGCAAGGGCTGTAGGTACTGCTGCTGGTAGCGGTGCTCCGTGTCGGCAAAATCCACCCTCAGCCTCCGTTCCGGTCCCCCCAGCGGGAAACCGCGCATGTGGGTGCAAGCTGCCTGTGCTGCGTCCAAGCTCTCGTACTGGATGTAGGCCCACGAGTCCCCCTTTCTGTAGTCAATAGTCCGAATGGTACCAAAACGATCAAACTCCCTGGCCAGGGCAGCCAAAGGAACCCAGGGTCCGAGTCCGCCCACCCACAAGCGCGTGGTGGGAGTGGCCTTACCGTAGCCAATTTTAATGGGGTTTCGGCAGATCACTTTACCCGACATACTCAGTTTTGCCCGGTGAGCCATGTCCAGGTTCTCAAACTTGAGAAAACCGTACGTGCTGGTCTGGCCACGGGAGGGCCGTTTAATGTCCACCTCGGTGATCACCCCGAACCTGTCAAACGCCCTGCGCAGATCGCTCTCTGTGACGCCAATATCCAGGTTCCCCAAGAACAAAGTCCTGTTGGCTCTTTGGTCATCTTCTGGCGAAATCAGCTCTTCCTCACGGAAAGCGGCGGCACGTTCTGCGATGTTGTAAGCTGGGCGTGCCCGTGCTTCATAGAAGGCATACTCTCTTTCCCTTTCCAGATCTCTGGGTAAAGGTGGGGGCGGGGGAGGGGGTAGGCGACCCAGGGCTAGCTGCTGCAGCCTGTAGTCTCTGTAGCAAAGCCCAGTGGGGGACAGAGGTCTCTGGGCATGCAAATGTCTGTGCCCTGCCACTGCTGCATAAGCCTCCTTTTCAATGGGAGAGCGACTTCTTCTCCGGTTAATGTACACAGCTTCGATCTTCAAAGGGCGGTCGTAGAGGACCAGCCTTCCCCGGGCGTGCTTGGCTGCCCTGGCATCCTCGGGCCGCCTGAAGTTGACAAACGCCACCCTTTCGTCGTTAATCCGACTGATTTTAACGCTCACGTCCCCGAATTTTTTAAACTCGTGAAACAGCCCGTCCTCTATTTCCTCGTCGCTCAGCTGCGAACCCAGTTCGCTTATTTTTAGAGTCTTGTACTCACTTTCGGTACTGGTGAGCGGAGGCCGCTGCTCCCCGCGGGAATTGGTCCTGGTGGCGGCCGGGTCGAGAGTCAGGTTGTTGTGGTTTTTGCTGCTGGAGCTAGCGGCGGCGTTGGCATAGCTGTGATTGCCCCCGGCCCGGCTGGAAACGTGTCCGTCGAAGTCCCGACTTTCTCTTTTCTCGGCCAGCAGACTCCTCCTAGCAGAGCCCCCTTCGCTTTTGACGGAACTGTTGCCATTGTTGCTGCCTCCGGCCGCTGAGAGGGTCCCCATTTTCTTGCTGGTGGGGTGGCTTCCTCCTCTGTCTCGGATGTCGTCCAAGGCCCGAGAGCGCTTCTTCACCGGTGATCTCTCCTTGCCCTTCATCTTTTAACTATTGTTCCCTCAGGCCGGCTTTTACTCACTCGAAAAAAGCAAATCACTAAACACGTTATCACGGGCAGCCACTCTCAGTTACTTTTCTTATTATATTATTGCCAAATATTCAAGTTATTTTCCACCCCTCACTGTCCCTTCAGCAAAAAGCCCGCATACGCCATTTTGGAACAACACATGATAGACCCCGCCTTCGCGTTATTACTGGTGGAACTGTGTCGGTTGGGAGAATGTTATTGGCTAAAAGTAATGCCACTCAATACGGGTCTTTGTGTTGCTTTATGGGACTCGGCTTCAGTCGTAGCACGCTGCATTTATATTGAGAAACTGTAAAGCGGTTTAATTTTTGGCACTATTATACCCTGTCTAAAAACAACGTTGTTTTAAACAGGAATCGTTTTCTCAAAATTAAGCTTATTTTATTGGCACAAAATGTGTTAAAAGCACCCGCCCACATGACTTGGGTCTTTGCCCCGTCCAAGCTGATGTTAATTCTTAAATAACATAATGTATTTTTACATAAAGTTAAGACATTTTATTTTTTCATAAGAAAACAGCAATGTCTTCGTTGAAGATAAGCTTTTATTTTTCTGCTACCGTCATATATTTGCTTTACAAAGGTTCTTTTATTTTTTGGAAATGGCAGCCATTACGGCTCCAGTAGTGGTAGCTGCATTATGTGTCACTCTATGTAGAATAGAATCCATAATGGCGAGGACACTGTTCCAGTTTCTCACTTTCGGAACACCTGGTACATCATACCCTAGTGAGTCGTGGCTATGGTAACGTCTAACAAAGTACGTTTTTTTTCTTATTTTCAGTTACGTGTCTTGTAGTGTATTTGTGGTAGTTTTAACCAAGCGTGCTAAACAGTTTATCACCCAAAGTACAAAGTGTTTTTTTTAACATAAACTGAAAGAGTTCGAGAAATGCTGGGCGTTCCTGCATTTTAATATTTTGTCTATCAACCCGAATACTTTATATACTTTCTGTCTTCTATGTGTATCGTTACATCGATTAAGTTGTAGCATGAAAATGTGTATTTGTGTATTATGTGTCTTCCTGAAATATATGTAACTAATATAAGACATCTCTTAAAGAAAAAAAAAATCAGTCGTTATCTGGAGTAATTTAGGGCTATGTGGTGTTTAAAGGGATTTTTAAATCGGGCACACCATTTCCTGTTGTTAGAAGGTAAACTGTATAAACCACAAAAATGTATTAGAAACACATTTAAATGTAAGTAATATGTTCCTGCGCCAGTAAGTTTATGCAACCTACTTTTCTTGTGTTTTCACGAGTGCAACCTGATTTTCGAAAGGATCAAAATAATAAATGTAATGTTTATTATTTGTAATCTCCCAGGGGCTTCTGTCCCTCGTCTGAGAATAACCCTTGCTGATGTTCATGGTGTATTGCATGGCATTATGAATGGTAGGCCTATAGTTTTTAAGCAGCTTTCATTTGATCTGAATGTTAAATTTCATAACATTCTTCATGCTTACTGTTCCTGTTAATTGTTTGAAATATTCTTCTGTTCTCAAAAGTTTGCAGCTCAGCAATAGCAATATTCCCAGGTCAGTGTCTTTGCAAAGGTTTTGAAGGACTTGTGCACTGGCAGTAATGCGTGGTCTATGAGAGTAACAGCCCAGCAGATAATGGGTACTACAAGCCAGGTTTAAATGGGTGAGCAAGCCTCCATTGTTGAAAACCTGATAGCAGTAGTAATACAGATCTGTGAACTCAGTTAAGTCGTTATGGGCTCTGTTCATTTGGAATGAAAGACATAGCGTTTAAGGATCAGAGGTGAAATCAGTGGGTTACTTAAACACTTCCAATGTTATTATTATTTGTAAGCAGTATAATTACTCTAAAGTATTGACATAAATGTGCTTATGTTTTAAGTTAAAATGTACAAATCATACAGCTGACTGCGTCTTACTTAGGGAACAAGTCTACAAACCACCAGCAGGGGGAACCGTGAACTGCATTTATGTGCTTTTACTTGTTCAAAATCATCCTACTTGGATGACAATTTTAATTGCTAAAATGGCTTTTGAACGGATCTTATGCATTTTTAATAGCCAGAGTGTGTGATGGAAAATTAAGTGATACAATTGCTGGCTAACATTTGTACACACACCATTTCCAATAATGTTATTCAATACCCTATTATGTTTAATCAATATATTTGTTAAACTATACTAAAAATATTATCATCTAAATGTATTTCTCATTCATGTACTCTACCAAGTGGTAGCAAGATTTTTAGCAAGTTAAAACAAAAGGTACAAATATTTTGTATGAAACTTTATATATCCAGAGGCATATAAAATGCAACAAATGCATTTGTTCATAATACTTGATGTGTTTTTAATGCCTCTCAGTGTGACTTTATGCCAATACAAGAAGCTCAGTGTTTCTTTACTGGTGAGGTTAACGGCAGTATTGTAGCCTATGAGGTTTAGCCGAAGCACAATTATTGCTAGGCAGTAATCAGCACATCTGTTTTAAACAGGATTTTAACTCAGAGCTTCACAGCGTAATCTCATCTCATCCGTCCATCCACCCATTTTCTAACCACTTCATCCAGTTCAGGGTCGTGGGGGAGCTGGAGCCTCTCCTGGCAAGACAGGGCACAAGACAGGGCACGCCCTGGACGGGACACCAGTCCATCACATGGCACACACAAACAAAAAACACAGACATGCACAAACGTATGCCAGAGTCAGTTTTCCCAGAAGCCAATTTTCCTAATAGTATGTCTTTGGACAGTGGGAGGAAACCAGAGCACCTGGAAAAAACACATGCAGACATGGGGAGAGCATACAGACTCCACGCAGATAATAATTGCTTACACTTATATAGCACTTTTCTGGACACTCCACTCAAGGTGCTTTACAGGTAATGGGGACTCCCCTCCACCACCACCAATGTGCAGCCCCACCTGGATGATGCAACGGCAACCATAGTGCGCCAGAACACTCACCACACATCAGCTATCAGTGGGGAGGAGAGCAGGGTAATGTAGCCAATTCATAGAGGGGGATTATTAGGAGGCCATGATTGGTAAGGGCCAATGGGAAATTTGTCCAGGAGACCCTACTCTTTTCAAGAAGCACCCTGGGATTTTTATTGACCACAGAGAGTCAGGACCTTAGTTTTACATCTCATCCAAAGGACGGCGCCTGTTTACAGTATAGTGTCCCTGTCACTATACTGGGGCATTAGGACCCACATGGACCACAGGGTGAGCGCCCCCTGCTGGCCCCACTAACACCTCTTCCAGCAGCAACCTTAGTTTTTCCCAGGAGGTCTCCCATCCAGGTACTGACCAGGCTCACACCTGCTTAGCTTCAGTGGGTTGCCAGTTGTGAGTTGTGAGTTGCAGGGTGATATGGCTGCTGGATTGATGGATTTTCTTTCCTGTTATCTCCCTCTGTAGTTGTGGCTGCCGAAACGATGGGCCATTAATTCTTCACACCCATTGTTTCCTATTGTATTGACACAAGATCAATCCAACTAGGGCAAATTTTTCAAACCTTGAAAACAATAACATTGTCCACAGATAACTTCATAAGATTCCACTGAGTCCACTGAGACTGCCGTTATAAATTTGTTGTTGAAAAAGATTACCGCTTACAAGATTCTGTAACACAGGGCAAACTATCTGTGGAAAAAAAACCTGAAAAGTGAAGTGGTTATCTTCTTGCAACAAAAAATAAAAGCCTTGAAAAATGGAAACTCTCAGCCTTTGCCAAGTTGGATCAGCAACAGCTCCAGTGCTATTACAGTCTGTACCTAAGAACCGATGTGCTTCATTGATGAAACAGTCACTGTAGCTGTGGATCTTCCTCCAAACACTAATGAGCTGTTCCTCAAGCCCAGCTCCATTATCTTACAGGCAGCAGCCTCAGTTAAGGCTCAGATCAGCACACAGCTGCCAATGTCGTTCTTGTCTCGCTGCTGTAAATATTCACTGATTATATCTTCCACATGTTCACCACTCTATTCATGTGGCTTAAGTCAAACATGATTTAAAAGAAGATAATGAATGTCATAAAAGCTGATGGTTTGGGTGAATTCTGATTAGGGCATCTTAATTGTTAGGCTATTATTGGAAACAACCCCTGTTACCTGCCTCTCCATCTCTTTTGTTTTAAAAATAATTTAATAATAATTTCTTACCCTCATATAGTGCTTTTCTGGACCACGACCGATATGTAGCCCTACCTGGATGATGCGACAGCAGCCATCGTGCACCAGTATGCTCACCACACTCACAATGATCACAATGATCAGCTATCATTAGGGAGGAGAACAGAGTGATGAAGCCAATTCATAGATGGGGATTATTAGGAGGCCATGATTGCTAAAGGCCAATGGGAAATTTGACCAGGACACTGGGGTAACATCCCTACTCTTTTTGAGAAGTACCCTGGAATTTGTGGGAAATTCCACAGAGAGTCCTGGGTTTTACATTTTATTCATAGGATGGCGCCTTTTTACAATATAGTGTTCCTGTCACTATACTGGGGCATTAGGTCCCACACAGATGAGCGCCCCCTGTTGGTCCCACTACCACCTCTTCCAGCAGCCACCTTAGTTTTTCCCAGCAGGTCTCTTATCCAGGTACTGACCAGGCTCACACCTGCTGAGCTTTAGTAGATTGCTAGCTGTGAGTTGCAGGGTGATATAGATGCTGGCTATAAAGATAGATATATATTTGCTAATGTGGGGGGTGACACAGTGGCACAATAGTTAGCATTACAACCTCGCAGAAACTGGGGCCCTGGGCTCAATTCCTGAGTTATCTGTGTGGAGTTTGTATGTTCTCTTGGTGTTTGAATGGGTTTTCACTGAATACTCCAGTTTTCCCCACAGTCTAAAGACACGCTGGTAAGTTAATTGGCTTCTGGGAATATTGGCCCTGGTGTGCCTGTGCCTGTGTCTGTGTGTGCCCCGCGATAGACCTGTGTCCCGTCTGGGGATTATCCTGCTTTGTGCCCATGGTTTGCTAGGATAAGCTCCAGCTACCCCGTCATCCTATATTGGATAAATATAAAATGGGTGGATGTTAAGATTATGCTCTCTTTATTAATGTAATGTTTGAGTCATTGTGATTTCACGTCAACATTTGCTTACATGGCATGAAAAAAATCCTGAGGG